AAGAGAAGGAAAGCGGAAAGAAAGGAGGAGAATGCAGGGGAGGAGGGGGAGAGAAAAAGAGGAGGAGAACGAGGGGAGAAGGAGGGGGGCGGGGCAGGGCGGGGCGGGGGAGGGAGAAGGGGACAATGTAGAGGAGGAAGGGGAGAGAAGGGATGGAGGAGAGGAGGAGAAGGTGAGGAGGGAGGGTAGAAGGTCACCTTGTGGTTCCATGTAATTACATTAATATCACAATCCGATGCCTTCACAGACAGCGCAGATGAATCCCTGTACCGACGTTACTCGTGCGCTGTCACAATCTTCTCCTCCAGGCTCTACCATCCCTCTCTTCTCTCTCCAACTCCTGCCTGCCTGCCTGCCTGCCTGCCTGCCTGCCTGCCTGCCTGCCTGCCTGCCTGCCTGCCTGCCTGCCTGCCTGCCTGCCTGCCTGCCTGCCTGCCTGCCTGCTCCTCGTTTCTCTCTCCACTCTACTTGAACTCCTCCTCCTCCCCTCTCCTTCCCATCTCAGCTGTTCCTCTCACCATCTGCATCCTCCTCCTCCTCCTCCTCTTCTCGCGGCACTCACCTCTTCCTTCCATCCCATATCCTGATCGTCTTGTCCACGGAGCAGGAGGCAAAGACCTCAGCCTCTGCAGCACCATCGGGTCAGCTCATGACGGCGGGCCAATCCCTCCATCACCTGACGGGCTCCACTGAATGTCTTCCACTGATTCCGTGTGACCCTAGCGAGACAAAAGATCATCATCTTGTATTTCAACTCCTGCTCCTCCTGCTCCTGCTCCTGCTCCTGCTCCTCTCCCTTCTCCTACTGCAGCTGTTGCTGCTCCTCCTCTTCCTCTTCTCCTGCTGCTGCTGCTGCTGCTGCTGCTCCTCCTCCTCCTCCTCCTCTTCCTCGCTCTCCTCCTGCTGCTCTTTGTCCTTCATCACCACCACATCCTCCTTCTCCTTCCTCACTTCCTGCCCTTCCCCGTGCTCCTCCTCTTGTCCCCTCCAGCCTCTGCTCCCCGCGTCGCCTCCTCGTCCTCATCTTACCTTGTACGGTCCTCCATCGGCTTCCCATCCTCCCTCCGCGTACTTGCATCGGCAGATAGTGTTCTTGCAGTCTCCGCTTGCGAGGTTTCCTGCCACGACCTTTGACCAGTCCATGGCAAATCCTTCATCCTACAGCAAGGCACCTAGTCAGCCTCCTGTTCCCCCCAGACAGAAGGCAAGGGGGACCTTGTGCTTGCCAAGAGTGAAGGCAGGCTCGCATCTGAGGCTCAGAGTGAGGGGAGGACAAGGGAGGAGGAGAGGCACGAGGGGAGGGAGGAGGAGAGGGAGGAGGAGGCAGCGGAACAAGTGATGAAGCAAGAGGGAGGGAGGGAGGGAGGGAGAGAGGACGTGGGGGGAAAGGTGTGTGTATGTGCGGAGGAATTTTGGTACTTGTGGGAGACTGGGGGGGTCGGGGATTTCTCGAGGAGTTCGAAAGGTTTTGTTAGGTCCCAGATGTGAACTTTTCCTTCCGCCGACCAGGTCGCTACAACACCTCCCTGCCCGTACGGCGTGAGAGAGGAGAGGAGAGGAGGAAGGCAAGAGGAGGAGGAACAAGGGGGAGACGAGGGGGGCGGCAAGGAACTTGAGGGTGGGACAAGGCCAGGAAAGGAGAGGACGGACCTTCTGCGGCATGTTCCTGATTCTGTTGACAGATCCCTGATGTTTGATGGAGATGTGCTAGTTCCATCTGAGTCAAGGGCTCTCTTCCTCTCTTCTCGCCCAAACCTGCAGCTCTGGGTCGTCGTCCAGGTCGTCGTCGTTGCCCTCGGAGCTGTCGGAGTCAGAGCCAGAGTCGTCGTCGTGCTTGGTTCGATGCAGCTTCAAGAGCAACCTTATCAGACCATCTGCCAGTGGGAGAGTGTAGGGAGAGCAGGGAGAGCAGGGAGAAGGCGAAAGGGAGGAGGAAGGAAAACAGCAGCCGAACGAGTAAGGAAGTGTTGCAAGTTCTCAACCTGCGTCATCTTCATCAGGACGAGTTTGTCATTCGCTGCATCGTCGGCCTGTGTGCCTCCCACCGCAAACGCGGTCATCGGGAACTAGCAGAACCGTGAGCAATGAGATGGAGGATTTCTCCTCCTCGATTCCAGCATCCTTGCGGAGGACGGAATTTCAGCCCTCACCTTCGTTCTCTGCTGCCCGAGGCTGTCAGGAATGAAGTCGAAGGACAACATCGGCCACTCAACGTTCATCCGATGCCTGGCATGCTGTCAGCGGAGTGTGGGAGCGCGGGGACGTCGGTGCGTTACAGCATCTCGTAGGTGCTGTTGTCCACGACGAGGTTCTCGTTCTCTTTCTTGTCCTTGCCGGGAATGAAAACCTGGAGGCAAGATGAGCCCTCCTTCTCCGAGCATCTCCTCCTCCCCCGAACATCTCCTCCTTCCCCGAGCATCGCCCATGGAGACTCACCTTGTACTCGGGTTTGCCCCCTTCTTCATCCATCATCTCCTCGTCCTCCTCGTCCTCTACCATCTCGAAGTCTTCGTCCTCCTGACAAGACATCAGCCCACCAGCCTTTCTATCCCATGAGAACGAGCTCTACCTCTTCGTCCGAGAAGGGGTCCTCGAAGCGAAGGTTCTCTGCGTCCTCCTCCTCCCCCTGTCAAGATCTCAGGGCAGGAAAGCAAGGCTCCAGCCAGAAGTTTCCAGCCAAGGGCTGGGAGCAGAGGAGAGCGAAGCAAGGAGATCAAAGTTGCGAGCTGCTCGACTCACCTTCTTGCTGTCCTTCCCGCTCTTCCCCCTCTTGCTCGGCCCCTCCCTTTCCATCCTCTCCTCCATGATGCACGTGCGGTTTGCGATCCTTTTCGTTTCGCTACCGTTATGTGATCATGTAACGGTTTATCGTGGGAAGTTCACTGAGAGTCCGCCGATCCGATCGGATGATCACCGGCGGCCCCCCCGCCGGGGAGTCCTGCGGCCCGGCCGGCTCAACCGGCCACGAGTTGAACTGAGTGCGGGCCCGCCGCGGCGCCCCGCGCCCGGCGGGGGTGGGCTAGGGGACCCACCCTACAGGCTCGTCATCAGTGGGCTGACCACCGGTTCTGAGTCCGGGACCCACTAGCTCAGTACTACGGTAGCGTCCTTTACTCAAAGTTAAGTTAAAAATTTAGCTTAGAGTACGGTAGTGGACCTACCGAGGTAGCTACCGTATTAATCCTTTTTACTCAAAGTTAAGTTAAAAATCAGTACGAGGACAATCCACTAATGCGGACCACCCCACCCTGACTGCAATGAGGGAGGACAAGCATGGCAATGCGAGATGATGTACTAGTTCTGACTCGATGATGATGAGCGAGAGCTTCAGGCACGCTAGACAAGACGTCTGCCGCTCTTAGTTGCACAGAAAACAGGCAACATCATTATCATCATCAGCAGCAAGCACTGCGGCAGCGGTAGCAGAACCCTCAGCCTAGTTTGTTTCAGGAGGGCAGGAGGGCACACTAGCTGTAAGATAGAGCAATGCAATTGAGATGCAAGTATGCGACTTTCTAGGAGGCGAACGCTGATACCGCATGTGCAAGGTCAGGATGGCCACGAAGGTTGAAGGACTTCTCCTGCGACAGCTCTTTGAGGGGGCGAGCTTCACCTACACCTACATCCTTGCTGATGAGGCAACCAAGGAAGCTGTCATCATCGATCCCGTCTTGGAGACTGTTGAGAGGGATGTTACCCTCATCAAGGACCTCGGGCTGAAGGTACTCTACGGCATCAACACTCACTGCCATGCTGATCACATCACCGGCACCGGGTGAGTTCCGTCGGGCATGCTGGGCCACCTCCTCAGTGCGGCTTCCGAAGAGAGATGACGGGTTGTCGCAGGAAGATGAAGCAGCTCCTTCCTGAGATGAAGTCTGTGATCTCAGGCAAGTCAGGAGCCAAGGCCGACCAGCACATTCAGCACGGCGACGTCATCAAGTTCGGCAGACATAAGCTCGAGGTCAGGTCCACTCCTGGCCACACTGATGGATGTGTGACCTACGTGAGACTCGTTCCATCCCCCTCCCCCTCCCTCACAGCCCGCAGGTTCTCAACGACGGGGTCATGTGCTTCACTGGTGACGCCCTCCTCATTCGCGGGTGCGGGCGCACGGATTTTCAGCAGGGAGACCCCAGCTTGCTCTACGATTCCGTGCACAAGGAGGTCATGGTGCTGGGAGAGGAGGCGACGCTCTTAGCTGGTGTGCACAGGTCTTCTCCCTCCCGGACAACTGCATCGTCTACCCCGCCCATGATTACAAAGGGTTGATGAGCTCGACGGTGTTGGAGGAGAAGACTCTGAATCCGTGAGCTCTGCTTGAGGATGGGAGTCTTCGTTCATTCATTGAGTCTATGTACATCCCAGGCGATTGACCAAGAGCAAGGAAGAGTTTGTTGAGTTGATGAACAACCTGGGCCTCCCCTACCCCAAGCAGGTAATCAGGTGATTGTCTTGTGTGCGTTTTGACCGGGGCCTGTGCAGATCGACAAGGCCTTGCCTATGAACCTGGTTTGCGGGATTCAAGATTAAGAAATTTGTAGAAAGATGTTGCATTCCCCAGCCAGCAATTGGGGAGTTGCATATAGATGTGTTGCTGAACAATGTTTGTGAATCATTCCATGCCCGCTCAAGCTATTCCATGCTTGCTCGAGCTCAAGTGATCCCAGTCGATCCTTGTGTGGGTTATCCGACTCGATGTGTCGAGATAAGGGAAGCCCTGAGAGGAAGCGATGGGTCAAAGCTCCATCCTGGTGGATCTGAGATCCCTCTCTCTCAGGTAGTAGGAGAGCAGGCGAGCTGAAGGATCCTCCCTTCGCGCCTCCTCTGCCAGCTGTTGCTCCCCCGACTCCCATATCCTCGAACCTCTGCCTATCTCATCGCATCCTTCTGATCCTGTGAGGGAAGTCAACGGTCCCTTGTGGGATGACAGAGCGACGAAGGTGTTGCTCCCCCCAGCTCGAGCTCTCCTCCGGTCTCGTCCTTCGCCCTCTCCAGCCCGTCCCTCTGAATCGTCTGGCTGTCTGGATGAGCTTGCAGGAGGCTCCGGCTCGCTCTTGTGGAAGGCGACTAAAGTTGTCAGGCTCTCGTCCACCAGGCTCCGCGGCCTCTGTTGCTCCTGCATGCTCGTCTGGGCTGACTTCATGGCGGCGACGCTGCAGGCCCAGGCCCAGACCTGAGACGGACAAGGAAAGTGAGTGGAGGAAGCAGCAATGCAGGAGCTCCTACAGAGAAGGCGCCTCGAACGCTGTCTCGGCGATGCCTCGGGGTCCATCTGAGGAGGTGATTGAGGATGCCCTGAAAGGCGACGGAGCGAGTGAGAAGACCATGAAAACAGGAGGAGGGCGGGAGGAGGAGGAATAGCAGCAGCACTGGCAGCAGGTTCAAGACCTTAGTGAGCTCTGCTTTCTCATTCGCTTGTTGGTTCCACTCTCTCCATGCTCTCCTCAGGCTGGAGCCCCCTCGCGCTGCCTCAAACTTTCTTGTCTTCTCTCGTATGTACATTCGCTTGTGTGTGAAGCATCGCCATGCGGCGAAGAAGACTCTGTCGACCACAGTCAGCAGCAGCTATCCATGCACAGCCTGACCCACCTTGTTGGGTTGCGGATTTTCAGCTTGTCTGAAATCTTCTGAACGATCTCATGTGAAGCGCGTGAACAACGATGTTCGTAACAGGATCTGCTCGCAACATCACTTCCCATACACTGGCATCTATCTAGCGCAGAAGTGATGACCTGCAGAACTTTGGAACTTGTGCGAAGCAGAAAGTCTGGGAGAGGAGGGTTTGACACATCTCAAGTTCCTGGGTCTTCAGCCTGCGGGCCCATGGAGTGACTCTGTGCTTCAAACGCCTGTGCGATACCTTGCTTCCACTCTGAGATATTTCAGGTACTCCTGCAGCTCCTGCAGCTCCTGGATCTGCTTCCCTTCAACCTTGAGCAGAAAAAGTTCACAAGGTGCAAGGTCCCTGAAGAGATCGTGACAGACCGTTCTAGAACAGTCTGACCTCCATAGATGGAAGAAATGCTCCAACAATCTCTGAGCTCGAAGTCAAATACAAAGATGCCATGAGCAGGTTGATGAAGTCACCTGCTGTTCGCGTCTTCTTGCGAGGTGCCTTGAAACTTTCCTCTCCTCCTGCAACTTGTCGACAATCCTCCGCTTCCAGCATCCCAAAATCTGCACAGCAGCGTCTCACTATCATACATCCTTCCACTCTGGTCGACCTTTCGCAGAACAGCTAAGTCGCGATGTCTCTGGAACAAGCTGGAAAGTCCTGTCGTTGCTTCAGGTCAGATTGTGGCGGGTGTGTGATTGGAGCAAAAGTCCGACAACCAGAAAGTACTCGATGCTTCCAGCGATGTTTCACCAGCGATCGCATCTCCGCAAAACATCTGACATAGGCAGGAATATCTCGTCAGAAGAGGAAGGAATTTGGCCCAATCCTCGAACCCCGCCACCCCCCTTCATCTTTTCCGTACCTTCGAACTCTCCATCGGTTTACATTTCTTAACAGATGTCTCTGCAGACATGAAAGGAATCAGCGTGATCACTGCATCACTGCATGTGATTGTGGGTGTTTATACCTGACATCGTTTCTCCCAAAACGTGCTCGAGGGCTGAAGAATGTCGTGAGTTACGCAGAGCGCAAGTTCGATGTTTCACATTGTCACTCTTTGCCGGCACTTCGGGAGGAGGAGGAGGAGGTGGCTTCAGGTCTAGCGTCTCGATCCCCTCGAAGATGAAGTGATACAAGTCATGCTCCTTGCTGGACTCAAGGAACTGCTTCTCCTGCCGCAGCATCTCCTCGATCGATGCCAGGGTGCTAGAGATGTCGCCGCGTTGTCCAGGGACATGAGCAGTCGGAGCTTCTGCGTCCTCTCGATCTGCCACGTTGATGATCTCTGGACAAGGCCCAACACCCGAGCCGACAGAGACTATGCTCCTCTCTTTGTCATGGTGCAGAGATGGTCGGAGCTGCTCTGCTGCATGGTAGGAAGGGCCTTGGACCCCTCCTCCCTCCTGCGATGGCTCTGCTCCTTCCAAGATAGGGTCAAGTTTGTTGCCCTGGGACATGTTCGCTGCCTTCAAGACTGAAGGGAAATGTCAAGACAGGTTTGGAGCTCGATGTAGCGTTCACACACGTGTATCCTCTCTCAAGGTCTCATCTAAATGTTACAAACGGGTTGATTCACGTTTTTCAAAGGGAGCTTCACCCTCGTCTCGCTCTCACTTCGTTCTACTCAGCTCCTCTCCCTTCTCTCCTCCTCTCCCCTTCTTCCTCCCCCTCTTCCTCCTCTTCCTCTTCCCCTCTTCCTCTTCCTCTTCCTCTTCCTCTTCCTCTTCCTCTTCCTCTTCCTCTTCCCCTTTTCCCGCTCTTCTCGTCCTTGACCCACTCGATTCATCTCACCATGGTGCAAATCAAATTTGACGTAAGGAGTACCCTACCCTCCAACCATATTCTCTTGGCAAAAACATACCGGTGATGACAACAGTATCTGACAGAACAATATGGGGGTTATCCACTCCTACCACCCACCCTCGTATCTCTCAAGAACGGATTCATTGAAACCATGGCCCCAAAGGTTCTTATTGATGTCAAGAAGAGAAAAAGACGCGATGACAGCGATGGCGACGATCAGCGTGTGGACTGAGAGGAGAAGGTGAAAGATGGTGAAACTCCTCATCCTCAAGCAAGCAGCGAGCCTCGGCCCTCAAGGTGTGGACTCTTAGTCATTCTTTACGTTTTCTTTCCAACTGATGCTCTCCTTAATGTCATCGGTGATCCTGGAACAATATTCCGTACACAGAAATTTTGCGTGTGCAATGCTTTCAGCTAGACACTATCTGTTGTACAAGCGAAGTGTTACATCACTCTACAACCCATGCGAGTCACGATACACAACAAAAGCTGACAGAAAACGGAATACTGCGATGTAATGTTCTTGTCTAGAGACTGGTGTAAACAGCTTAGCTTCTCATTTTTTCGGGATTCCATACGTGGCGATCAACTGCTTCAGCTTGTTGTACACGTTCTGTACAGGAGCCGGGCTTTTGGCATGGAGAAAGATCTTGTCTGCTGTAGACGACGTCGCGGCCCATGCAGTCTTGCAGTTGTGGCTGACGAGATACCTGATGCGCATGAGCTGCACGTAGAGGATGAGAACGATGAGGTTCCTCCTCGGCGTGAAGAGCTCGAAGACAAGCACGAACATGATCAGAACCTCAGAGTTCGCTCCCACTCGCTTGAACGTTGGCTCCATGCTCCCTACCCTCTGCAACACAGCCTGATCCAACGCTGCCGACCAGGCAAACCCGCGCGTCAAGGACTTCACTCGGTTGCTGGCTTGGACGAGTGTCATCGGGACCAGCGGGACAAGGAAGAGGATGGAGGGGGTCGCTGAGAGGAGCAGCGAACAGAAGAAGATGTTGTGGGTGGTCTCATCCATAGCCACCCGCGACATCCCTCGCAGATCGTTTGGCGATGCGGTTCCTCGTAGCGCCTTCCATGCATTGCGGAACGTTGTCATGTTAGGAAGCCCATAGGTGAGGACCGTTTCGCCCAGCGTTGCAAGCATCATGGCGAAGGCACATCGGCTGAAACTGATCCGTGCTTCGGGTTTTCCTTGGATGAGCACGAACGTGACAGCATTGTAGATAGCAAACAACTGTAGCAGAAGTACGGGGATCTGCAGCATGGAGGATGAGGTTCTAGATGACGATGACGATGACGATGACGAGGTCGAGGATGAAGACGCGCTGCTGCCCAGCATGGCCTCGGCCCTTGCCAGTTGCTGCTTTGCACTCGCATTTTCCGGTTCGAGCCTCAAGGCCTTTCTGTAAGCCTCAGCAGCATCGTTGTACCTGCCCTTCTCAAAGAGAGCAGCGCCTTTCCTCGTCCACCCCTTGACGAACGTCGGGCTAGCTGTGATGCACGCCAACGCGTCCTCCAAGGACTTGTCCCAGTTCCCAAGTTTAGCGTACGCAGCGCTCCTGTTGCTCAAGAGGACATGCTTGGGGTTGGTGCCCGAGGCAGCATTGTCTCTTATAGCATCTGAGTACTTGTCCACAGCTTCTTGGTAGTTGCCATTGCGAAAAGCCGCATCGCCCGCCTCCTTAGCTGCGTCCGCCATGGCCGTCCCCCCTTCCAAGCCTTCCACGCACCTTTGCAGATTGGAGTTGGTAGGGGTGGTATGGAAGGGGTGGTATTAGAGCCAATATGTCTACAGATACAAGGGGTAGTAGGTCATATGGGTAGGCCACCCTGTACAATCTCATCCAGGCAAACAAATATGAATGATGTTTAAACGAACTTTCAAAAGTAGATACATAGTTTCAAATATTAACGTAAAATTCAAACATGATTGTATCAACATTCATCGCCCTCATATTTCCCAGCCCCGTTTCTTTCCGTTTCGCCCCTGCTGCAAGATTTTTCTCTACACCCTGTTGCTCCCCCCCTGCCCTGCAAACTCGTCTTCCCTTCCTGCCCTCCTGCCCTCCTGCCCTCCTGCCCTCCTGCCCTCCTGCTCCTGCGTTCCCTCCTGCCCTTCTTCCCCCCTCCACCCTTCCCTCCTTCCTGCCGTGCTGCCCTCCTGCCGTGCTTCCCTCCTCCCCTCCTCCCCTCCTTCCCTCCTGCTTTCCTGCCCTCCAACCTGCCCGCCCTCCTCCCCTCCTTCCCTCCCCCCCTCCTGCTTTCCTGCCCTCCTGCCTGCCCTCCTGTCGTGCTGGCCTCCAGCCTGTCTTCCCGCCTACCTGCCCTTCAGCCTCTTCCTGCCTAAGTGCCCTCACACTCTTATGCACTTCAAACCTGCCTCCCTGCCCTCTTGCCCTCCTGGCCTGCTACATCCTGTTCCTTCCCGCTCTCCTGCACTGCTGTCCTGCTGTCCTCGTTCTTCTCTTCTAACCTTTCCGCCCCTTCTGTGTTATCCTGTTTGCTTATCCAATCCCTCAGAAACCATTCTTTCACCACCTCCTTGATCGCTCAGCTCTCCCTGTCCCATGCACCTTCCCTCCCTTTTCTTTCTACAACTATCCTCCATTTCGTCCTATCCTCGTTGCCGCTTTTACGCACCCTTACCGTCCTTCCACGACCTCTATCTATGCTCTTGCTCAGTCTGTCTCGTTTCGTTTCCCTCCCTCGCACCCACTGTCCCTGTCACTCTCTCTCATACGTCCTCCCATCTACTTTCTCCTTTTCTCACTCATCTGCTTGGTCGTCTTCTCTTTTCCTCTCCCCTCGTTTGCTGCTGGACACGCATATTCTCCTGTGCCTGACTGATGCTTTCAGAAGCGTGCGCGAGCCACACGAGAGCAGAAGTTTGCATGAGAGAAGATGCGGAGCTGAAGTAGTTGAGGGAAACATGCCTCACGGCAGGCCGTCGGAATCAGAGCAGGAGTTGGCAGATGAACGGGTCGATTTTCTTGAAGCGCTGCGAGACGTCGAGCAGCAGGGGGGGGCCATGGAGGGAGAGGCAGAAGAAAGGCTGAGGCTGCTGGACCGGATTTCAAACGACAAGATCGCGAGCTTCATTCGCTTCTGCTATGAGATGGATGCGGCGGGGTTGAGCACGAAGTCTTTTGAGAGCTCAGTGATGCAGGTCGAATTTGAACTGGCGGAGAGGCAGGGAGTTGCCGAGATGAAGCATGTTCTCATGTGTCTGGACCTGATGTGGAAGGAGGCCAGGCAGGTGATTCCAGAATCGCTCTTGGTACGGAGGGGAGGGCCGTGCGGGAGGCGCATCAATCCCAAGGAGCTAGAGTACAAGTGTCTTGACTGCGGTATGCGCCTGATATGCTTCGCATGCCTCCTGGGCTGACCCTTGACATGTCGACTGACAGGACTGGACCCGACCAGCATCATGTGCGTGGATTGCTTTCAGCGATCTCCCTGTGTCAATCACAACTATCGTCTCATCACCGGGCGAGGAGGCTGCTGTGACTGCGGCGACCCCGAGGCCTGGAAGGCTGAGAGCTTCTGCTGCCACCATGCCTGCAACGGGGAGCGCATAGACCATGACTTTCAGAACGCCCTGAGCCTTGAGACGAAGCCCGAGGTGCAGCAGGCGATCTGTGCGATCGAGAGGATCTTCGACGTGGCGCTCAAAATCGTGTCGGCCGGGCTGACGTACACGGGTGGACGCTCGACCTCGGTCTTCGGGAGCACAAGCCAGACAGAGTGCGATGCCGTGCTGAGATGGGTGGTGGGAACTCTGAAAGATGACTACGTATGTCAGAACGCCGTCGTTCACAGTCTCCTCAAGGACATGCGGGAGAGTGAGGAGGAGGAGGAATACACGCTGTTGGAGCACTTCCTCGTGAACTTCTACTCGGTTCCTGAGATGCTGAGAAGGTCTTTGTTTGACCTGGTCCATTCTCTGCTGGTCATCAGCCGCTTCAAGAGGAATTTTGCGTTGATCTTTGCAAAGCTCTACGTTCAGCTCGTGAGACAGCGATCTCAGTCGGACCTTGCTTCCAAGAAGATCGAGAGCGGGCAGGACATAATCTCCCTGTCCATTCAGACGTTCTCCTCCCGGCAGCTCATGAAGGACATGCTGGACTACAACTTCAAGTACTGTCACCTGGACTCGAGTGTCTACGTACGGGGCAATGTCCTCAACTCGATATTCGACTGGGTTCTGATCTCGCTGAAACGCATCGCCCCTCTGCACAAGGTTGTGAGCGAGGGATTCTTAATGTCCAGGCACGAGATCTTCCAGGATGAATGCATCGATAGCGACCAGCTCCCTCGGGGGTACATGGAGAAGGTTTTCATCGACCTGCAACTCATCTTCCGTCACGACTTCACCTGCCGCCTGCTCATGGACAGCGCGCACCATGGGCACCAGGAAAACCCCGGCACCTTCCTGGGCTGCTTCACCAAGATTCTCAGGATGCTGCAGGGTGCGGAGCCCGTCTTCAGGAGGTACGGCGAGCACGTGCGCTTCGAGCAGCGATCTTGGTTCCCCGTGCTGATCCTGAGCTCGGTCGCGCTCGGGATCTTGGACATAAGTCTGACGAACCTCTCGAATCAACCGCACTACCGGAGCATGAGCCAGTGCCAGGGTGACTTCCTCGACGTGTGCGGGTTCCTTCGAAGCCTTCACAGAGAGCTGCATGACTGGTTCCTGAGACGAGGGATGTCGGACATGCTCAAGGGACTTGACATGATGGGGCGCGGGGAGCTGAAGTTTCGCAGCTCGACGCACTCCACGTCGCTCTACCTCACCCTCCATCGCGCCATCGCTCGGATCCTCATCGAGACGACCAAGTGCGCGAAGCTCAAGAGCTGCTGGTGCTCGAAGAGGCCAGCTGCCTTGATGGAGACGCTGCTGGGGGAGAAGCTGGAGCCCGGCTACCTGCGCTGCCTGATCGAGCATCCGCTGCGGATCCAGGCGCTGGTAGCGCAAGTGAACAGCCTGATGTGGGTGAGGAACGGTTTCTCGCTGCAGAACCACGTGGCGTTCTATCACAGCACGACGTTCAGCTGGAGGGGGAGGGATCTTGACCTGCTCTTGCTCCAGCTCGGGTTCAGCTCGATCTCAGATGGGGACTTCCTCTTGAAACACCTTGTCAACACGTTTGAAGTGGGCTCTGTCGCTCTCCTCGACGCAGTCTCCCCCCCGCTCACCGACGAGCGAATGAACATAACGGGAACCTCCGACCCAGGAAGTGCCGAGCAGAGGGTGCTGGTGCTGGAAGAAATGCTCCAGCTGCTGATCAGCCTGACAAGCTCCTGCGAGTACCTGGGGGACCTGACGGATGAGCAGCAGTTGCAAGACTGCATCCTGCACTGCCTCGCCGTTGAGGACCGCAGCCATAGCGAGATCCAGGATTGGGTTGAGCAGAGCCTCCTGTCCTTCATGTTCCGGCGTTTCGTTGCTGGTGAGATCGACAGGGTCTTATCCCTGGTGGCGACCAGGTCCCAGAGGCCCACGGACGGGGTTGAGGTGTACAGGCTGTTGGACAGCTGCTGGCCCAAGATCAATATCAACTCGTTCTACTTCCGGACGAGGAAGGAGAGGTACAGTGCTGAGATCCGCCTCTTCAACCATTACAGGTCGAACAGCTCCGAGTACAGGTTCCAGGACCAGCTGCCCGCTTGCCGCCCGCCCTGGCTCGCACCTCGGCAAGCTTGCCTCTTCGCCCCTGTCAGGAAGGGTCTGCGAGCTGCCCTGCAGGCCTCGCGGCTGTACAGGCTGATCTTCATCATCCTGCACAACGCTGCTTGCGCCTTCAGCGAGTTCGGGAGTTTCTCCGGAGGAGCCAAGTGGCACAGGAAGAGAAAGAAGGATGACTCGCACGGGGCTGCCGAGGGCTTGCAGCAGGACAGCAAGGTGGTAGCAAGGAGCTCCGAGATGGCCCTCAGACACTGTCTGAACCTCCTTTTCCTCGCTGTGATCTCGGAAGGGCAGGAAGGAGAGAACGAGGAGGAGGAGAAGGAGCAAGGGGGGCCAGAGGAAAAGGAGCTGGAGCAGGCTCCACCTAGAGACGCTGGCGGCTCCTCCTGCACTGCCGGCCTCTTTTCCTGCAGCAGCAGGTCCTGGCAGCGGCGTGCAGCTGGTGTTGAGGTCCGCACTGATGAGCTCCGCCCGGGGCAGGGGCTGGTGATGATGGTAGAGGACGGGGGGATAGTGGCGAGCTCGTATGAGGTCAACTCTCCTGCTTGCTCTTCCGCCACCTTAAACACTCCCACCGAGTCCTACTATAACTCGCTGCATCTCCCCAAGGGAGGGAAGCTGAGGGACCTGGACGTGAACACGACAGGGCTGGAGGATCTGTTTGTGAGCGAGGACCCGAAGTTGAAGAAGGAGAGGAACGTGTTCGAGAGCGCGTGCAAGGAGTACGTGATCGAGGGGGACGCTGGCTTCGAGGACACGTCCAACGTGTTTTTGAGGAGAGTGTCGCATGTCCGTCTGCATGCTGTCTCGCACAAGGCGAGCATCCTGTCTCTCCTCATCCACCTGGCCCGAGTGGCTCCAGCCGAAGGCTCCCACCTTCTGCGAGAGTCGATTCTGAGCTTGCTGAGGATGCTGAGCAGCGCGCACGAGAATTGCAGGAGGGTGATCGAGAGCTCGAGGATCTTCGAGGCAGCGGCAGCCGAGAGCGACGAGGCTGAGGTGGCGAGGAAGCGCGAGGAGGTGGCGAGGAGGAAGGAGAAGATCATGGAGGAGATGAGGAAGCAGCAGCTGGCGGCAGCAGCCCAGCACAACCTGATGAGCGACGAGGAGAGCTCGGAGAACCAAGGAGGCGGCGAGATGACTGGCGGCTGCTACTCAGATCCCCTTGCGAAGATCGAGGGCGACGAGTGCTCACTGTGCCAGGAGTCGATGGCGGCGCTGGATGCCACGTGGAGCAGAAAGGAGCCGAGCACGGACACTTGGATTCCTTATGACGAGACGACGAGCAGGGAGCTGGAGAGGGCAGACCTGGAGGGGATGGAAAGCGTGGAGATCTTTGTAGGAGGAGAGATCGTAGTTGTGGACCTCAAGAGGAGGAGGCAGAGCGCCCCCCTGTGCATGGGGAGGAGCAGCGGTGGCAAGGTCAGGGAGCTGCCGATCAGGCGGGAGGAATCGATGGTTGTCATCATCGGGTATGCGAGGCCAGCTGCAGTCCTGCTGGAGGCGTTCGAAGGGGCCGCGCGGCCGGTCACGATCAGCTCGTGCGGGCATGCTGTGCACTCTGGATGCCTCGAGAGATATGCGAGTACGCTGCAGGGGAGGAGGAACGTGATCGTACACGGGCAGACGTACGAGAATGCCAACAGCATCGACATGGCGGCGGGAGAATTTCTGTGCCCCATCTGTCGAAGGATCTCGAACCTTACAATCCCCCTGCCCTCCCCGACGGATACGGCGATGCTGGACTACCTCGCCTCCTTGGAGGGCTCGGGGTCGACGGGCGGAGCAGAGGGCTCGGGGCAGGAGGAGAGGAGGAGCGATGGCCGTGCGATCTTGCGGCAGGCGACCATAGCGAACGAGTTGCTGCTGTCAGATCTGCAGAGGGTGAACCCCGAGGGAGCCTGGAAGTGTCACGAGGGCAGAGCAAGGAAGCTGCTCAGCCTCTTCGTCCACCAGGTGGAGATGAGGGAGATGATAACCCGGCTCGACCAGGGCAAGTCGCAGTCGGAGAAGAAATGTGGGCATGAGGGCAGCCAGGCTTCGCATGCCCTCCTCCTCTGCGCCATCAGGAAGCACGTGCTTGCTGCATGCCTGCTAAGCGCCGAGGAGGGAGCGAGGAAAGGAGCAGAGGAGGGAGCGAGATCAGAAGCCTCGACATCGTGGCTGGACGTGCTCAAGGGATGGACGTTGGAGAGTCGCCAAGTCGCAGGCACGGAAGTGGTATGCGGACCCTTGGCCTCGTCCTTGTCATCGGGCAACGTCTCGTCGCTCTTCGCCTCTGTCTGCCTCCTCCTCCTCTCCCTCGACCTTGAGTCTCTCTCCAACGACTCCGACGGCCAGCTCCTCCGTGTGCTCATCAGGAAGTGTGCCTTAGTGCACTCAAGATTCTACTCCCTCCTCCTCTTCCTCCTCGTCGGCAAGGGCTTCCCGACGTGTGTGTCGGAGAGCGGGTGGGCCTCGCTCCCCCAGCTTCTCCACGAGCTGGAACAACTCCCTCCTCCTGCTCTGCAGGAGCTGCTCCAAGAGATCTCTTCCTCCTCGCATGTGCACCCTGAAGCCCACTGCAAGGAGCTCGTGCGCAAGGACTGGCAGCAAGCTGTCACATCCTTCCGTGACCTCGTCGCCTACCAGAGTTTCGTGCTGGTCCGGAGGATGCTTTTCCTCTTCGAGCTGCTCGGCTTCGACGTCCAGACGATGTTGCTGGGGGGCCAGGAGGCGAGTGCGAGCTCGTGGAAGGACAGCATGGAGCTGATGTCCAGGGCCCTCGACCTCCCTCCTCTCTGCTCAGCAGACATTCCCATGGGGACGGGAGGGGAAAAGGGGGGGGGGGAGGAGGATGCGACCAGGCTGATGGGCTCTATCTTGGAGATGGTCGGGCAGGGAGGGAGGAAGCAGACGATTCAGCGCCTCTTCCTCCGCAACATCCAACGTGGCCTCGTCACGCTCCCTCCTCTCTTCCAGGACCTCGTGAGGGACGTGTACGAGTCCGAGGGAGGAGGAGGAGAGACGGTCTCGCAGGTCGCCGTCTGCCTGGTGTGCGGGGAGAAGATAGCTCGGATCTCTTCTGGCTCGGTCCTCTCCTACCGCCCTTGCGTGTCCCACGCTCGCTCATGCGGGGCTGGGCTGGGGATTTTCCTCCTCCTCTCCAAGTCGTCGGTCATGCTGGTGCAGGACCTGTGGGTGGCTCATTGGGGGTCTCCCTTCCTCGACCAGTACGGTGAGGAAGACTTCGGCCTCCTCCGCGGCCACAAGCTCTTCCTCGATGCCGCGCGGTACTCGAGCCTCAACGAGCTGTGGAACTCGCAGAACCTGAGGCGATGGAATGCCAACAAGTGGAAGAAAGTAGAGGCGATACCTTGATGAAGGGCAAGGATGAGGACGATGCAGTAGACGGAGAGGACGGGGGATCGCGGAACGGGAGAGGAGGAGGAAGAGGAGGAGGAGGCGGAACGAGGGGAAGTGAAGGAGAAGACGCTGATGCTGATGCTGATGCTGATGCTGATGCTGATGCTGATGCTGAAGATGATGAGAGTGTAGTATCAACATAATTTATTGATTCGCTTCTATTTTACAGCTCAAAACCCAGGATGACGTCATCGCCCTCATTCGTGCAGCTCCACACTAGACCAGGTCTGGATGAGGTTGTCGAGGCCCGAGAGATATCCTAAGTGGAAGTGAGAGGAGGAGGAGGAGGAGGAGGAGTAGCAGCAGCAGCGAGAGATGAGATCTACAGGAGGGAGAGGAAGTGGGTGAGGGGAGGGGGAGGAGGATGTAAGGAAAGGGAAGGACAGTTAACTTACCATCCTCATGGTTCCCGAGGGTCCATTTCCTCCTGCAGAGTCACATGAGTGGAGGAGAGCAGGATAGGTATATTGACGCATGGAGAGAGCAGATGCACAGGGAGGAGGATGAAGACAAGCAGGGCGGGAGTTAGCGCGGAAAGAGGTGAGGTGAGGGTCACGAGGAGATGGAAGAAAAGAAGATCAGGACAGGGGATGTGGGAGGAAGAGAGGGAGAGGGAGAGGAGGACGAGGACCTGTGGTCTTGAATGTCTGTCCTGGAGATGGTGTGTGCGAAGTCGATCATCCACAAACCTCCCTGGAAGTCACTGACCGAGCTGTGGAGACAAAACCCGTCAGATCACAGAATGTATGTGCC